CCGAGCAGCCCCTGCTGCCCCTGCCTCCGGAGCCCGCCCCAAGATCCGTTTCCTCAGACCCCCCAGCCCCGAGATACAGGCTGCCGATCCGCCTGTTCCGCGGCCTCCTCGCGCGTATGCCTGGCGGGGCAGGTCTGAGCGCGGCCGGGGCCGCGACGACGACGAAGGATCGGTCAGTAGCGACGACGACCGCAGCAGCGATGGGTCCGACGATGGGACCTTCGGATGCCATCGCTGCGTGCAGCCCCGGCGAAGCCGCCGCCGCCGAAAGCCCCGGCGCAACTTGCTCCGCAACTTCCTCGCGCAAGCCTTCGGGGGCTGCTTCGGCCGAGCCGAGAGCGCCGAGCCCAGAGCCCCGCGAAGCCCCAAGGTCAAGAAGATTCCACTGGCGGAGAAGCGCAGACAGATGCGCAGGGAGGCCCTGGAGCGGCGCGCTCAGAAGCGCGCAGAGAAGAAGCGCAGCAAGCTCATCGACAAGCAGCTACAGGACGAAAAGATGGGTTACATGTGTACACATCGCCTGCTGCTTCTAGGTAATGCGGCGGCCTCTGCCCGCGGGCAGCAGGGCCGCCCGGGGACCCGGGAGAGGGCGGCCGGGCTGCCGGTGGGGCCCGGGGCCTGGCGGCGGGAGGAGGGTGTCTGGGCAAAGGCGGGAAGAGCCTGCTAGAAAGTTCCAGCGAGGGGCCCTAACTCTGCCCCGGGAGTGGGAGGGGGCTCGGGTGGGCTCGGGTGGCCGAAGTATGTGCCCTCTAGGGAGAAAAGTGGTGCCGTGCAACACTGAGGGCCGTTTCCAGCTGGACAAACCAGCGCCAGCGCCCGTAAGACGCCCCCGAGCCCTGGGGTGGGGGCCGGCAAGAAAGGCGGGGGCCTCAGGTGAGCCCGGAGCTGCCGGGGAGGGGCCTCGGGGTTCCCCAGGCTCGGCTGGCTGGGGCCATGGTGGGCTGGGGTCGCTGGGGCAGGCGCGCCCCGCCTCGCCTGGCACGGCTGCTTGGACTCGGACAGCTTGTCGTTGGTGTGTGTTGGTGTCCATATTGTGTCCGCCTGTGCATGATATGCTCGAGCGTCCCCCAGTTCCCATCCCTGGCACCCCCAAACTACCCGCCGACTGTGTACCCGTGCCGGGGAACGGGCTGTCTTGTGTTGTGCGCCATGGCGCGGGCAAAAACTTTCCGTGTTCGCACACTCTGGTGGTACCTGTGAGCGGGCGCCTGCGGCGGGCGCGCATATGCGGAGACGAGGCGGCGGGACCCCTCGGGTCGTCTGGTGGGGCCACTGGCTGGGGGGAGGGGCCGCCTCCCTCCGGCCTCCATAACCGTTTTTTTCCTGTGTGTCTTTCTCTCTTTTTTCCCCTTGCGCTAAGCGTTTCCTCACTTCTCATTCGTTCGCCAAACCCTCCCGCCTTTACGGTTGAAAAACCAGACACTCAGGTATCTGGGGCGTCCGGGGCCGCACACGCGGGTCCGGCTTTCTGCCCACACTCGGCTCACCTGGTGGGAGGGGCGGAGGGATGAGGGGAAAAAAAACGACGCTTAACCTGCTGTAGGCGAGTCTGGATCCCAAACCACGGGGCCGGTTCCAAGGGGGTGGGCGTGGCTATGTTTTAAAAACATGAAATAATCTTTTTCCTAGGGCAGAGCGAGGTAAGCCAATCATTTACACGTTTACGCTAGTGCGGTAGGAGGGGCTTGGTTTAAAAGGGGGCTGTGCCTTGGGAGTGGGTTGCCGTCTTGTGTTTGAAACGCAATTAAAATAAAACTGGAAAAAAATGCTTCGCGTGTATTTTAAGCGTGTGGACGAAATGTGGTAAAACTGTGACTATGACTTATGAAATATGTAAATGTCTGCCTGTGACTCTTTTCTAACAGCTTTAGCTGGGGGCAAAGAGGCTCAAAGGTAAGATCCTCTGCAAATGGGCTCGGGGTAAAAAGAAATTAAAAAGGTCTTCTGGTAACAATCATATTAGAAGGGTACATTTGGGGCCCCTCTGCCCGCCCCTCCCCTCTCCAGAGCCCCACCCCCTCCCCCCACAACAAGACCCTCTCCCCTATCTACAGTCCTTCCCTGGCCCTTCCCAGTTCCCATCCCCCCTTGGCCTCCTCAAGACTCCTCAGCTGAAATCTGGGGTCACTGGCTGGCGGGGAGGGGCCTCAATTAATCAAAGCAGCGGTTAGCAATGGTCTGAACGTGTGGCTTAAATGAGAATTTCCAAAGGGAAGCTCCACAGTCTTAATTTCTTTATTTTATTCTCTGAGACCTTCCAAGGGATTTGAAGATCACCATTTCTAAGGCTTTGCTACATTTGTTTGCTAAATAGTCTATCATGAGTGATGGTTTTACTTAATGACATTATGGCCATAACTGTCTGCCGTTGTGATGTGCGTCTCTCACAAATCACAGTGTTAAATGTGATGGTCATTTATACCCACCTAGGGAGATGATGACATCATCATTTTTCCAAAAACATACAGAAGGAAGGTAGTTTTAAAAATTGGATGTCCCAGCTGCACTAAAGCCACAGAGCCTTAAACGACAAAGCTCTGTTTTCCTGCAAACAAGTGATTTTGCCATAACAGCCCCAGTTTAATATTCTAAGCATAGCTCTGGCAAGCAAACCTTTGATGGGGAAGGGGGACGCACCCGGGTGAAGACAGGAGAGCCCGGTGACGGTGGGCACTTGGCTCCTAACTGGCAGTGTCCCTTGCGTGCTGGAGCCTCAGTTGCCTCATTTGTGAAACGAAGCTTCCCCAGCAGATCTCCTCTAAAGCCTCCTTTGCTCCATATTGTGAGTCCTTTATTCTGAGGGTTTAGGGTGGGGAGGAGGGAGCACAGTCCACGTAAATCAGTACTGGAGGCTCATACCTTAGATTATGCAAACGTCAACCCTGCAGCAAACTGTCTGTGTCTGGGGCAGTCTTAAGAATATTAGATGTTTCCCTTGTTTTGTATGGGGGAGAAGTAGTAACCTTAATAAGGAGACATTTGCTGGGGTTACCCGGCCATCGCCCTGGCTCTGTCCCCGGCTAGTGGCGGTCAGCACGTTCAGAAGCAGTGTAGTCCGGGGCACCAGACCTGGGGCCATGTATGGCAAGGACCTGGACTCAGCCAGTGTCACCTGCTGTGCCAGGGCAGTCGTGGAACCAGGCCACCACTGACCAGGTTTCATTTTGCCAGAGTGACAAGAGAGGTACCCCAGCCAGGTCCAAGCTACTAATTGGGGAAGGAGGGAGGAGGAAGGATGAGGAATTATACTTAGGACAAGAGTTTTCGCTAATATTCTAGCCCTAACGTATAAAACAAGATATCCTATCTTCATACCACTGAAAATGCAGGCCAAATGACCATCCTTTGGTTTGGCTCCAAATTTGTGACATGCAGATTCATATGTTGCTTTAAAAATGTGTGTGTGTGTGCAAGTGTTTGTACACCCACTGTTTTTATTGCCCAAACAGCTTAACTACATGACAGGGATTTTTTTTTTCCAACAGTTGGCATACAATATTATATTAATTTCAGGTGTGCAACATAGCGATTAGACATTTATACACCTTACAGAGTGATCACCTGGGTAAGCCTAGTGCCCATCTGTCACCACAGATAGTTATTATGATATTATTGACTGTATTCCTTCTGCTGTATTCAGAGAATCTTAAAAGGGAAAAAGATAATCAATAACATGACTGAAAGTCTAGAATATTTAAAGAGTTGCAGCCTTTTTCTTACTCAACATTATCCAATAATAGACTACTTCCGTGTTTCTCTGGCCCTTTTGAATAATTTTGGTGGCTTAAACATATTTTCGGAAACCTAATTCGGGTGTGATTCCCTCATTTTTTAACAATTGAAGGGGCTGCTAGATTAGAATTTCTTAGCCACCGCTGCATTTATTAAAATTGCGCAGGCAAATGTTATATATAACAATGGCTGTCCTGCCACGACACTTTATTGATACAGTGAATCTCAATTAATCGTATAATTCATTTGATGGATCGCAGCGCATTCCATCTTGCAAGAGGAGTCTTTTTGCCCCCAACACAGCCATTATTCCATATTCAAAATGCCTTCGCTGAGCTGTGCAGTGAGAGTGTGACTTATCAGGCCACAGAATTCTTAGAATTAAAAGAGACTTTTACTATTTTCCCTTCTCCGTTTCTCTGTACTATTTCATGCTTCTCAAAGGCCAACATTCTTCCCTGCTTTTTAAAATCCAATTGCCCATAGCTTCTCTTTAAAAACATTTTTTTTTTCGTATCCAAGTAGGTTAAATTTTATAATTTGCCCATATTATGTATACCACGAAAAACTGGTATTAAGCAAAGAAAAGTAGGGTTTGTCACCATATTGTATACCGCCCCCCTGACCTGAAAGAAAGGGGTATACAAACTGCTCTCAGGGTTATTAATAACCGGTAATGGTAACGATTCCATATAATGATAGCACTTTCCGATTGTATTTTTAAAAGCTTTTCATCGAGTCACATTTGTCTTCTGAAACAGCCTTGGGCAATAAAAATGTGAGAGGACCCCATTTCCTAGGCAAATCAACCCAAAGCCCAGATATTAAATGTCAGAGACTTTTGTTGAGATTGCCAGGTAAGTGAAAGCGGCCGCGCTTGTCCCCGAATGTGGTGGCAGTAAGCTGTGGCGCATGGTTTAAATGTAAAGCATGGTTGTCGCAAGTGCAGTGTGCTCTTAAAATCCCTCGTCAGATGACAGGTGTCCAGCAGTCTTCTGCTTTCTGGATTCCAGCCAAACCCCGGCAGATCCCTGGTTATAAATGTCCGTGGAGTGTCCATGAAACGTGAGACCCCCCACCCCCCGCCCCAGTTCCGAGATACCTACCATCACTAGGGTGATATTTAGTTTCCACCATTTGTTCTAGCTCATCTGCCAACACTGCAGCCTTAGCTCGTTTGTTGGGCTTTTTGTCTTTCTTTTAAATGCAGGTTTTCTTTAAAGTCTTTTTTAAATCTCCCTGGTTTTCTTCAGCAGAGTCTAAAGTTTTTCTCAATAATAATTATTATTATTATTATTATTATTATTATTGTAGTAGTAGTAATAATAATTTTTAAATGCAGCTGCTTTTATGCCTAGCTTCCCTACATTTTTAGTGTTCAAAAGCCGGCCCTGAATCTAAGGAACCTATTAAAAGAACTCAATATTCTAAATTGTGATTTTTTTTTTTAAAAGTATTTCTTTTAGTCAGGGCTGATTCCTACTTAGAGTCAGTGACTAATCTTAGAAACCACCTTTGACTTCCATGTGGGAAGGTTGTTATCAAGCAAAAAAATAAATTTCAGAGAAGGTAACCTAATTGACTAGATTTTAAATTCCCCATACTGGCCATGTGTCTTGTTTATAGTCAGTTTTCCTAGTAGATAAAGCATACCTCTCGCCCCAGCAAAATTGTGGTTCTTCAGATGCCTCAACATAAGGTCACTTTTAGGAGGCACGTGGGGACAGCACATGAAAATTGGTCTCCATGCTTCGTGGTTTCTTTCACCTGTGGCAAAGGTGGGCTGCTTCCCAGATCCACC